TATATATATATAATATGAATGGATAACAGTATCCATATAATCAATATTATAATATTATAAATACTCACTATTTACTGATATCTATTAAACATATTTATTTAATACTCATCACAAATTTTATCCACTTTTTTAACATCCTAAGTATCCCTCATAATTTCACTCTCATTACAGTAAAATTTATTGAAAAAGCGTTTTGAAAAATCAATCCTTGAGAGTGAGTGTGCCCCGTAACAATGATTTGAAGCTATGTTTGAAGTTGCCTCATATGACTTTTTTGCATACAAACACACATCACAGTGGAGGGTCCCTTCATCAAGTTGTCGTACGAAGTTGTCTCTCTTCTTCCTACTATTCCGGTTGGAAAATGTAACAAATTAAGCATCATGGTAAAGCTTTTTTAACACAGGTTTTTCTATTAGGTTTAAAATTTTAATGGGTAATCAAAGTTTAAATTTTTATTAAAGAATATAGCAGTTCAAAAATCACAGTAACTTAGTTTTGATTCCAGTTATATAGGTTTTGTTTAAAGAGCAGAAGATAGTATCATTGTAATGAAGCACACGTGATGGAACATAAAGTTGCCTCTCACGACTTCTATACTCTAGACTTTGCATGTAAACAAAGTGTCACTTTTAGCCAACTGGACTCAGTTGCCGCTTAGGACTCATCCCTTTAAGTGTGCACGTATATATGACTAGCAAGACACTCATCTTTCTCACTAAATACTGTGAAGTCTCTTAGCTACTTTTCAGCTCTGTTGCAATTGTCCTGACATAATATATTTTTTCTCAATCCAATTCAGAAAAGAGACTCAGAGTTCATAGCATTTACATGGAGCCTTCAAGTTATCAATAAGGTAACAATATGATGTAAAGTGTGTGATGATGAATGTTTATGTTATGCTGTTTTGCTTTTCCTTGATTTAACTGCTGTGTTATATGTCTTTGCTGTTCAGTGGATCAATATGGTTATGGCTTAATAAAAAGCTGAAAGAATAACTTTGTAACTTTAAACCAAAAACATGTATCGAGTGGTTTCAAATTCTGGCTTTCAGGGGTGGTTTTAAGTCAAAAGAGGATTAGAACTTTTGTTTTTAGAAGTGGTTGAACAGTCCATTTATATGTTCTTTGTGTACCTACAGATTTGATTCAGTTTGAGGGTTCTATTAAACTCTTACTGTTGTTCGATTTTTCTAGCATGTACAGATGTACTTTCCTCCATGTTTACTGTGTCAGTACTTCATAACATGATGCAATCAAATACTAGTATTTGAGGCCTTGACTTTGGACAGCTAGCCCTTAAAAAAAGGAAAAAGTGGATATGGTTATCAAGTCAAGTGTATCTTGGATGAGGTTTTGACAGTACTAATATGGTACCAATTAGTCCATTTTTGTAGGCAAAGAAAAAACCACCATTTTTTTTCCAGTAAGACTGACACGTGGCGTTGACAAAGACTTGAAACAGCTCATATTAATATTATTTGTGATTCCTCTTTTATTGGTTTGGATTGTTGGTTGGCTTACAGCTTATTATGATTTTTGTCTTAAGTTGTTTTTTACATAACTACTCCTTTCAACTTTTATTCAAGGCTTTGTAATTCATGCGATTTTATCTTACATCATTGTTGTCATGTTTTATAACATGAAAGTCCAATGTCTGATCTAATTCAATAATAATCATTTACTTATTTCATGTCTTGAAGTGTTAGATTGAATAGGTAATGGAGTCTTAAGGGTTGGATTTTCATTAGTCTCACTAAGTTACTTATCAATTGGCTTTGGATGTTCAGGAAATTCTACCAGACAACATTGTATTGTGTTGACCAGGAGGTGGAAGTTTGAATATTTGTCTAGAAATCTAAAAGTGTTGCTTGTTTAAGCACAAGAATGGCACTGGCTCCCCCTCCAACAGTTGCCCTTGGTTCAGTAGCCTTTGCAGTCTTCTGGGTTCTAGCAGTTTTCCCATGTGTGCCTTTTCTACCTATTGGGAGAACGGCAGGGTCCCTACTGGGTGCAATGCTTATGGTCATATTCCAAGTTCTGACTCCAGATCAAGCTTTTGCTGCAATTGATATTCCAATTCTTGGTCTTCTTTTTGGCACAATGGTTGTTACTGTTTTTCTTGAAAGAGCAGACCTGTTCAAGTACTTGGGGAAGCTGCTCTCATGGAAAAGTAGAGGACCAAAAGACTTACTTTGTAGAATCTGTGTGATTTCTGCTATTTCAAGTGCTTTTTTCACCAATGACACCTCTTGTGTTGTGCTGACTGAATTTGTGTTGAAAATTGCAAGGCAGCATAACCTCCCACCTTACCCTTTCCTTCTTGCACTTGCTTCAAGTGCTAATATTGGCTCCTCAGCAACCCCAATTGGGAACCCCCAGAATCTGGTTATAGCTATTCAAGGCAAAATATCATTTGGGAGTTTTCTAACTGGCATTCTTCCAGCTATGCTTGTAGGACTTGTGGTGAATGTTTTAATGCTTATAGTCATATATTGGAGGGTGTTAACTATTCACAAGGATGAAGAGGATCCAATTTCACAAGTGGCAGAAGAGGAGATTATGTCTCATCAGTTTTCTCCAGCCATAATGGCTCATTGTGCATCCTTTAATTCTGAAGAATGCAATGACAGTTCAGAACCAACTAATAATCTTCAGAACTCTTCTCAAGTTCACACTATGACAAACCAAAAAGTGCATAGTTTAAGTGAAGTTCAGATGGGTGTTAGTAGCACAAACTCAAAGGATTCCACAACAACCACAAATGCATCCAAGAAGGGGACCAGTGACACCAATCCTTCAAAAGATGTTGCAGTAGTAGTGGATAGACCTATAGAAGCACGTATTATGCACTCTTCACAAGGAAAGGAGGACTATTTGAGCTTAAAATGGAAAAGGATACTATGGAAATCTTGTGTTTATGCAATCACATTGATGATGTTGATTGCAATGCTTCTTGGTGTAAATATGGCATGGGCTGCAATTGCAGCTGCAATAATTTTGGTTGTGCTTGATTTCAAAGATGCAGGGCCTAGCATAGACAAGGTAAAACTTATATCATACAACCTCTTGTACATAATCTCATGTATCTCTCTTCCTTTTGAAACTCTAGCTATTGTTATTTTTGTGTCAGTTGAACTTTGAACAATCTCTTACAGTGATTTTGCTTCTTGGAACAAACAGGTCTCTTATTCCCTTTTGATATTCTTCTGTGGAATGTTTATAACAGTAGATGGCTTCAAGAAAACTGGAATTCCAAGTGCTCTGTGGGACTTAATGGAGCCTTATTCCAGAATAGATCATGCTACTGGAATAGCTATACTTGCTGTAGTTATACTTGTCCTATCAAATTTGGCTTCAAATGTACCAACTGGTAAGCACATAATCATTTGCCAAAATAATTATTTTTCTTGTCTTTAGAATACCAAAATTGACCAAAACTAGATGTACTTTCTTCTCTGCTAAGAGCCATTTTCATCTGATGAACCAAAATATTCTACCTGTGTTTTACAGTTCTGTTGCTTGGAGCAAGAGTTGCAGCCTCAGCTGCTGCAATTTCCAAAGAAGATGAGAAGAAGGCATGGCTAATCCTAGCTTGGGTGAGCACTATAGCAGGAAACTTTTCACTGTTAGGATCTGCTGCAAACTTGGTTGTGTGTGAACAAGCTCGTAGAGCTCCAAACAATGGATACACATTAACTTTTTGGACTCATCTCAAATTTGGTCTTCCTTCAACTCTCATAGTCACTGCCATTGGATTAATCCTCATAAGATGATAAAAGAATAACTGAATCAGACATTTACACAAACAAGTTATGTTCATTGTAGCACATTTTAAGGTTGTGTACATGTACATAAACAAAGGATTTCTCTATTTTTTTATCATTTATATCATCAAATAAATGCATGATCACGATGATCCTAGCAAAAATGTTTGTTAGGAATTCTCTGAATAATAAAATGCCAAGTGTTATATTTCTTTAGTTGCTTAACTTTCTCTAAGTTAGTACACTCACATCAGATGCTACCCTTTTGCAACTTTATGTCCCATGGGTTGCCATGATCTGAAAGCTTGTTTATCAAAGGTTTGGTGGTTGTTTTTCCACATATTTTGAGAGATCAAAGGAAATAGAAGTGTGTGGATCTCTTAAACATGTCAATTCTCTATCTGTGGATTGTCATATGTTTGATGACTTTGCCAAATACAATGAACAGAATAAAAGTGTATGTAATTAATGAATTTCTCCAAAGAAAGATTATAAGAGTGAAAGAAACAATATGGGAATTATTGAATGGAAAAAGCAACCAAAAAGACAAAAGTAAAGAAACATTAGCAGCCTATTTTCCATCACAATCTTTTTAACAATTTTTTATTAAAGTAGAACTCATGAAATAAGATATAAAATCTTCAAAATTTTATAATTGTTCAATAAAAAAAAGTGTATTGATTTAAGTTCAGTTAAACCCTGATAAGTGAATCAGAAATGGAACATACATGCATATTAAACTATACGTTGTATTGAAAATATGTATAACGAATGTGTTTCATTATTCTATCTTTGAAATGCTAACATATTAGTTAACAACTTTTATCCTTTGATTCTGTCCTTTAAAATTACTTAATTACTATAACTATTTGTAAAACATGAAAAACAAGATTATATAAATAAATATATGATAATATGAAGAAGACACGTGCATGGTTATGTAATGTGGGAGCATGGCACGTGGGAGGGTGCCACCCATGGAAAGTCACATACATCTCCCTTTGCCTTATTTTCAAGTTTAATGTTATTGTGCCTTCTCTCATTGCTTAATTCTTTATGTCAATTGCATATCTTCAATTCTTCATATTATTTTGTGTTTCTTTTTGTAATCAAACTCCTAATACCACAATCATATGTATATATATGAAGTATTTGATTTCAATTATGAAATTTATGAAAAGAAACATCATAATTGGTTTTGTAAGGGAAAGTAACATATTTTTTTGGAGAGTTTTGCATCCAAAATGAATGGAATGAGTTAACATGATTGTGTGAGAAATCTAAGGAACACATTGACACAAATTGTAGGCACATTTGACGGCTCAATTGAATTGGAAGCAAACATAATGTAAGAGATTATATGATGATGTAGTGAGCATGGAACATTGCTTGCATAACACCCTAGAGGATAAATAAGAAGCAACTTCATTATACCTTTCAAAAGACAATTAATTCTTATAGTTTTTAGTTAATCTTGATTATGTTATCATTAACCTACTAAATTACTCAAATCTTAATCCATTAAAAGAACTTAGGTCTCTTTGTTTACTATCAATCTCTTTAGAACTAATGAAACTAAAATATTTATTTTTAGAGAAATTTTTTAGTAATGATCAATTATATTTAACTTCTATCCTTAAGAATCAAAATAATAATAAAGGATATTTGTATAAACAATGCTTGAACTTGATTTTAATGCTCTAACACTAAAAGAAATTTTAATTTAGTAACTAAAATTAGAAAAAGAAATTGTAAATTTAGTAACTGAAATCAGTGATTGATAAAAATTAGTCGCAATTTGCGACTGAAATAGTTACCAAATAATAATAGTAATAAATTAGTGACTGAATTAGTATAATAACATTGTATAACGATCAAAATCGCGATGAAAAATATGTGGCAACTAAGTGTAATGTCTTAACCACCAAATTAGCGATGGAAATAATATAATATTAGTCACCAAAATTTTATTAATCACTAAAATATGTTTAATACGATAATTAACTATTAGAAATTTATAGTCGCTAAATGTAATATTTTAGTCACCAAATTAGCAACCAAATTAAATATTATATTAACTATAAAAATGTGTTGATCACTAAAATATGTTTACTATGGTAATTAGTGCCGAAAATATTTGGTCGCTAAATATAGTCTTGACAATCGAATTAGCAACCGAAAATGTTTGATAGTTAAATTCACAATTTTTTTTTCATAAACTTGTATATTATAGTTTATTTTTCTTCAATTTTTGTAACACATTTTTATTTTAAATTATATGACTAAAAACATTAAATGTTATTAATTTGTAGCAAACTTAATAACTTTTTATTTAGAAATAAAAAATAATATTTAATTTGATTAAATTAATAAGACAATGAACTTTAGATTAATATTTAATATAATTTGTAATTAACTAAGTTATTTACTTTTACAATTTGTAACTGCTTTAAATTTGAAAACCATATGTTATATTTCTTTCAATCTCACACACCACTTATGCATGCGTTCCCGAAGGAAAGGAAATATGAACGAAAATTGAAAGGAATTGACTATTAGAAGAAATAAAATATTTAAGATTTAAATTTTATAATGTAATTGTAACTCAATTTATTTATGTTAGCAAATTTCAGATGGATTTAATATATTTGATTTTATTCATTCTAAACATTATAATATGTTACGAGAACTCCAACCTGTAAATCTAAGTTATTGTCTCCTACTAATATTATACTCTAATATGACTTTTCTCAAAATTTTAATTTTCTTAACCTGAAATGATTGATGCCTAAAAGAACTTTTATTATTAGTAAAACTTAGAATATATAATTAGAGATTATATCTGTAGTAGTTAATGACCATACAAAATTTGTCACTAAAATTAGTAATGCTATTAATTAAATAGTAGTCACTAATTCAGTGATTATATAAATTGAAATGAAAGTTTTGTTTCTTAATTATACATTGCTAGAGTTTTTTTCTAATAATAGTTTAATATATTATATGAATCTTCCATTCCTTCCACTTGTTTCCATTGAATGTATTTATGTGTAGTCTTCTCTTGAAAAATATCTAAAGAAATCAACAAAACAATTTTTTTCATATGGGTTAAATATGTTTTTAGTCCCTAAACTATTGGCCGTTTCTGGTTTTCGTCCCTCTTCCAAAGTAAGGTACAATTTGGTCCTCATTCTTTAGAAAAACGTTCGTTTTAGTCCTCAAAATTTTTGTTTTTAGTCCTCGTTTTAGTCCTCAAAACGTTCGTTTTTTCGACTAAAACGAACGTTTTTTAAAGATTGAGGACTAAATTGTACCTTACTTTGGAAGAGGGACGAAAACCAGAAACGGTCAATAGTTTAGGGACTAAAAACATATTTAACCCTTTTCATATATATTTATTTTTCACTATGGTTGATTTTTCTTCAATTTTTGACTCAAATATTTTTATTTTTATTTTATTGCACGACTGACTAATGACAATACATGTTGTGTATTAGAAATTTGCAGAATTTTATTTATTTATCTTTCATCTAAGGACGGTAATGTCTAAATGTAGACACTTTGACTTGTAAATTTAAATATTTTTCTTCATTCAAACACTATAATGTGTAAATTTAAGCGCTTCAACATATAGATGTAAGTCATTGTCATTTATCTAAGCAATATTATCTAATAATTTCCGATTATTATATCAATAAAAACTTGAATTTTTAATCACTAGTATCTAAATGTAGCGACTAATTTTGAAATAACTAAATTTTATAAAATTATAATAAGCTATCCTTTTAGTTTCCATTAAATAATAGATTTGTTATAACCTAATTTAGTGATCAATTATATAAAAGTTCATTTAATGACTAAATATATAAAGAACAAAATTAATTACAAAATTAATCTTTAGAATAATGAATATAATCATTAAAATATTATTTTTAGTTTTTTATTTACACTTGTGATTGTACTCTTGTTGTATGATCTAAAGATTTTAAGCATTTTATTTGTTATCTTTTTTTTCGATATATCTATTGGAAATAATTTGACTTTGGATTTGATTGTGAATAACAAAGACATCATGACATTAATAATGTTGAATATTGTTTGGGATAGAACAATATTAATCTATTTAAGATGTTGTATTCAATTATTTTAGTTTCTTAAATATAAATTTTAGGATAATTCATAAGTTCTTGTGATGTGTTATTATATATATTTTCTTTACCTACTCATGTCGTTATAACTTCTATTGTTCTTTTAATGACATAGTTGTTCCTCCCATCATTAATCTCGTCTACAAACCAAGACAGGGATTTAAGTAGAAGAAGATAAAGACCATACAAAAACTAAGAGTTGATGCAGAGCTTTGATTTAAAACATGTGTTCACAATACTCACTAAGCTGCAAGCATGATTAGCATAATCAAATATTTTAATGCCATGAGTTTTTCATGTACATGTTTTTGCCATGTATATTGTTGAACTTCCTGGAGGTGTTGTTGCCCTAGTTGCAACACATATAGGGAAGCCTAGTAGCCAACTCGGAGAACAAAATCTGACTAAGTCATAAGAAGAGATAGAAAGCATTCACAACACATTTAATGCACTTGAAAAGGCATATAAAGGTTGAAAGCACCATCATAAAGGAAACATCGAAAGTGAGTGTAACTTATAATACTTTTATAGTATCTTCTTCTTGTGAAGTAAAATCCTTGTAAGAAAGTCACACTATAAATTCTCTTTACAAAAGTTATTCCTTAATATTCATCCTTTATTTTGGTTGTAATAAGAAGTGACAAAAAAAAATACTCGTAGTTCTTAGTCTCATGGGAATACCAAAAAGGAATATAAAAGTGACATGTGTACTTGTAATTTCAAGAGTATGTTGTGTATTTTTTTTATAGTCAATGGTTTATAGTATAAACCTTTAGAAGTTCCTTAAACAACTCTACATAGTCCAAAATGTTAGGATAAATCAATATAAAAATAGTGTTGTTTTTACAATTTAGATGATTTATTTTTTTACTCTGTAAAGAAACTATATAAATAAATTAAATTATTAAAACCTATCTACTAAAATTATTCCATAATTCTTAATTGGATAGTTTATCTTAAAATNTGGAACATACATGCATATTAAACTATACGTTGTATTGAAAATATGTATAACGAATGTGTTTCATTATTCTATCTTTGAAATGCTAACATATTAGTTAACAACTTTTATCCTTTGATTCTGTCCTTTAAAATTACTTAATTACTATAACTATTTGTAAAACATGAAAAACAAGATTATAT